GAAACACAGTTTGTTACGTTGTTCTTCATTAATTTTATCTATAGCTAGAACTAATCTATAGTGACTAATCTTTAACTTCAAAAGTAAATTAGATCGTCTTTATATGTATACGTATTAGAAGAACGAGGGAATTTAAAGTAACTATTGTCGTTTATATTTAAGAGGAGAGTCAAAACTTTGTTTTAAAAATAAGTTTGACAGGTGATATTTAATTTTATCATAAACAACTGAAAAATTGAATTCAACATTTGAACACAATGCGACACGTTTAAAACGTACACATTGTGATATCCATAACGGTAATGGTTGCTAGGATCAAAGAGTTTTGACAACACTTACCAATCGCATCATCTTTGTGGTGATTGAATGTAGAATCAACAGCTACCTTAATAAGGAAATCTGTACCAACAACAGAACCTCGATACACACTCTGGAAACTCTTCTGGCTTTTATACTCTCTTGTTCATGGTCATTTCTCAGGAGTAAACGATAAATGTCCTTTCTAACTTTGTCAACGAGGGTTATTAAGAAAGATGACCTTGCAGAGGAACCAAACAAGTTGATTCTTACGTCAAAATACACTTTTTACACGGACTCCACCCATGAGCTGTACCTAAAGGAATTCACGAATACGCCTTCTGAAATATCGGAGCACACAAACAAAGGTTTGTCCTAGGTTCTCCAAGCCATATAGTCGGCACTATGCCAAATGTTTAGGTGGCTCATGTTTCAGACTTACTATACATAATATTATAAGGTAAGCTACAATATTCATCATGTTATCCTGGACATCCTTTAGGTGTCAGCCTATTTCAAGCTAACTCTTTATATTTGCGTTGCAATATTAGTAACTTAACTAGTGATAATATGAGTTTCAGCTCAGAACATGAAGAACAATGCTAGGAATCTCACCACTTTCAAGTTTACAGGACAAAGAAGTCGTATCTTGACGAACAACTATAAAAAACTCGCCATCTCAGAGCTTACAATATAAAGTCTTGATGAACCACATTCAAAAACTCATTACTTCGAAACTTGGTAATCTTCTTCATTTGACTTCTTTAAAGGATTAACCTTTTGCTGTAAAACTAAGAAACCGAGGTTGTTTTTCAACTAAAGATAACATGGTTCACTTTTACTTAAACTTTGAGTATAACATTTGTATTATATGCCTTGTACTATAAATACATTTGTAAACAAACCATGTACATGTATTATAAACATAATAAATGTGTGATTTCTTGCAAAAAAAATCGCTTCAAATATTTCAATTAATTGATTTCATTCGAAGAACTAGCCAGAAATTTTTCAATACAGAGTTGCACATATGTGCAACGTCACATTTTACAATATTCTCTTTTCCACTTATAATTTTTTATATTAATGAAACCGAAGTAAAATCTTTCATTCTACAGTTTAGCTCAATATCCTACTTGGTTCAAGTTCTTGTAATGAAATGTGAGCTGTAACGTACAGTACAGTTTAGTTCTGTACTGTACGTTACAGCTCACATTTCATTACAAGAACTTGAACCAAGTAGGATACTGTTTAGTTCAGTATCCTACTTGGTTCAAGGTTCTTGTAATGAAATGTGAGCTGTAACGTACAGTACAGTTTAGTTCAGTATCCTACTTGGTTCATTCAAGATCTTATAGTGAAATGTGAGCTGTAACGTACAGTACAGTTTAGTTCAGTATCCTACTTGGTTCATGTTCTTGTAATGAAATGTGAGCTGTAACGTACAGTACAGTTTAGTTCAGTATCCTACTTGGTTCA